AAAGCTTTTTACAGACCTAACATGCTATTATCATTAAGTCCTTACTCATATTTTCATAATGCTCTATTTATTTCTTAAGCTGATTGTGAGTCGTGGAATGAAAAAACCAGAAGGAGCTCAAATATTTTTCCAAAATGTTTGAGTTCACACTTTGGGGCCAAATTCAACAAAGGTTAGCAAAGTAAGTTGCCTTATGTTCTTCTACAAACCAAGAACGTAGTCAAATAATGGTGCCCAACTTCAAATACTACTGTATCAAGATACTGATTGACTGAGGACTATGCAAAAAGGGAATTATAGGATTGCAAAAAGTATTTCCATCTTGACAAGCCATAAAATATTACATTACAAAAAAAAACAAAAAAAACGCCCCCCAAATAAAGTAGACACCAATTTTCTAGTCCTTTGTTGAGAAGAAAACAAACAAACAGCAACTATTTACCAATGCCATTTTAGTTGTCTGGGGGGAGGATGCAAACTTTCTTTGAATTCTTACTATCTATCATACTGGAAGCTAGATCCTCACAGGAGCCCTGTGCTTTAATTAGTATTACTTTCATGTTACAGATAAGGGGATTCAGGTTCAGAATGATTATGGAAGTTGGCCCAAATCATGTAGCTAGTAAATGGTAATGTGGGAACTGGAGGTAGATCTGTTTGATTTGAATACATTAGGCTTCTTTGCACTTACTGGGATACTTACTGAGGGAAAACACACCAGCTGAATAGATCTTCTGTTATCCACATTCCAGACTAAAATAATGTTCCTGGGAGGATGAGGAAGGAAGTCATAGACTTTCTGGATAAAGCAACATTTGAAAGCCCATTTAAGAAATTCCACCCCCTCTGCTTAATGGGTGGATCCTTCTACAGCAGCTGGTCTAGAGCTATAGTGACAGGAAAGATTATACACAGACGGAAACCTGTGAAACTGTAGCTTCCAACTATTTCAACCCAGTTGGATCACCTTCTTAAAATCAGAAAACCCATTTCTAACCCCTCTCATGAGACCCATCATGTCTGACCTGGGTCTTCTCTCCAACCCGTTCAACTGTTTCCCAAAGGCTGTAGCGACGTGAATCTCTTCCTCTTGATCCTCCTGTAGGCAGTTTCTCTCCACACCTCCCATCCTTACAGTCCTAACTGTTCTGTGTTCCTTCCAACATCTGCTGGTGACATTAAAATCTGCCAAAGCAACAGGCTGTTCACCCAGCTTCCTTTTTAAACCCACCAAAAGATTCACAAATGTGAAAAACTTTGTGATATGACAGTCTGGAAGTTTTGGCCTGTGTAAAATTTAGTGACTATCGCTTATAAAAAATATTTATAGTTTCATTATTTTTTAATGAAAAAAGATGTAAATACTTTGTTGATTTTTAAAAATTTAATAATACAAAAAAGGATTCTCCTTGTAAAAATATTTTTAAATATAATAACCCTCTCTCTTCCTCTCAGGGCTGTATTTAGTTTGATATGTACCATTTGGGGCACTTCCGTAAGTGCATATAGATATTTGTATGTACACCCAGGAAACATATACTTTAATTTTGTGTATTTAAAAAAATAAATCAAGTACATTCATAATAGAAAAAAATATTCTGCAATTAAAATGAGACAAGTAGACTTCTAGGTAGTGATATATTAAGGTCTCTAAGACCAGTGCTTGAAGCATAATAGCAAGCTTCAGAACAACACATGCCGTATCATTGCACGCCTTAATGTTTCTAACTGTGGGTTTCTAACTAAATCAGATCACCACTCTGGCTGTTGAAAGGCACTATGACTTTCAAATTGTAAAGTCTCAAGAAATACCTAATAGTAATAAATATGACGATACAGAGATCAATGGCAAATAAAGACTCCTGCTCCTAATTGGTGCAGCCACTACGGAAAACAGTATGACGGTTCCTCGAAAAAATAAAAATAGAGTTCCTCATGACCCAGCAATCTCACTCCTGAATGTTTATCCAAAGAAATTTAAAACACTAATTCAAAAAGATATATAAACCCCTATGTTTATTGCAATGCTATTCATAATAGCCAAGACATGGAAACAACTGAAATGCCCATCAATAGATGATTAGATAAAGAAACTGTGGTACATTTATACAATGGAGAATTACTCTGTCATAAAAAGAATGAAATCTTACCATTTGCAACAACATGGATGGACCTAAAGAGTATTATGCTGGGCCGGCCGAGTGGCGCATTGGTTAAGAGCTGGCTTGGGATGCCAGAAGGCCCCGGTTCAGATCCCACATATGAGGGCCAGTAAGGCTGCCCTCTACAGCTAAGATGCTGAACAACAGCTCAACCGGGAGCTGGGCTGCCGTGAGTCGCTGGCGACAGCTAGGCTGCAGCCCCTGCTGCAGTGGGTTGCCATGGGCTACCGTG